TTTGTCACAAGCCGGTTTATTCAAACACTGCCTTCAGGGTTGTTACATTACAAACAACAACAAAAACAATCGACCCCTCTTCCTATTCCTCACCAGATTTGGAGATATCAGTAGGATTTCATAACTCAATACCTAGCTCTAATGGCTTTTCTTCACAATTATGGTGGGGTAGACCGATTATCTAAGTTCATTACTTTATTCCTCCAAAGCAGATTTTAATAGTAGGATGGTTGCTGATGTTCTTTCATCTGCAGGTGGTCAAGATCCATTTTCCCTAAGACTGTGGTGTCTGATGGGATATAGTATTCATTAGTGCATTTTGGCAACAACTCTCAAGGCTCAGTACAACGTTGCTATACTTCCGCATATCATCCTCAATCCGATGGCCAAACAGAGGTTCAATAAGACCGTGTGAAATGTACTTAAGATGTTTTGTGTATGACAATCCAAAGTCTTGGCATTCTATGATTCCTTGGGCACAATTTTGGTATAATTCGGCTTATCATCATAGTATTCATATGACGCCTTTAAGGCTGTATTTGGGAGAGATCCTCCATCATTGTTCCTTATGTTAAAGATTTGAAGGATCCCGTCTCTCTTCAAGATACTTTAACAGCTCGTGACCAACTGATTCATGAGCTTAAATTCAATTTGGAAAAGGCTAAGAATTACATGAAAGGTACAGGCTGATAAGAAGAGGAAAGAGGTATATTTTGAAGTGGGGGACTTGGTATTGGTTAAGTTACAACCATACCGTCAACATTTGGTGGTTTTGAGGAAGAATCATAAATTGGGGTTGCGTTTTTTTGGCCCATTTGAGATCATTTAGAAGATTGGTGATGTTGCATACAAATTGAAATTGCCTACCACTGCTAGAATTCATCCCTATTTCATGTGTCTTTGTTGAAGAAGTTCCATGGCACTCCAGTTGAGCAATACTTGCCTTTGCCATTGACTACTTCAGAATTTGGACCGACCTTGCAACCTGAGAAGATTTTGGATTCGAGAGTAATTGGTTCGTGGTGCGGAAACAAATTCCTCCAGGTGTTGGTTCAAGTGGGAGTCAACCAAACCAAATTGGCTAACTTGGGAAGAATGCTCTCTCTGCACAATCTTATTCCATCCTCACCCTTGAGGACAAGGGTTTTTAAAAGGGAAGGTATTGTAACACGTGAGCTGCATGATGGGAGTGAACGACATTTTATTATAATGAAGTACAGGGGAACGTGATCCAGGACACGTGGAACTTGATCAGCAGGATGTGGAGAGCAGACGCAAACACTAGGATTCGCTAAAAAGAAATCTCTTTTAAAAGGATTTGGGGGCATGTGGAATGTGGCAAGTATCTCTCTCTTCCAGAATTTCCTCACTGCTCTTTCTGTTCTCTGACCTTACCCAATTTCTGTGCAGGACGATCCTCTATTCATGCAGCCGATAATATTTTTGGGATTCTATTTCGTTACATTTCCTTTACTGAATCCATAAACTTCTTTTTATATTGTTGTTGACAGAGACATTGATTCATTTAAATAAGATTCATTCCATTTTGAATTTTTCTATCATATTACTGCCTCATTACTGTGTACACTTTCTAACAATGCAAAACTCTACTTAGTTATAAAGGGATGAAAATGACAAGTGAAAAAAAATCTATTCAAAATAAGCTCAAAAATATTATAATTTATATATTATTATTATATATATATATAGAATTTATTATATATATATATATATATATTCATTCAAATAATTCACAATCGAATACAATTAGTTTCTTTATAATTTATATTAAATTATAATAATTACAAAGTCAAATATTATTCTTTAAAGATTAAATATGTTTTTAGTTTGTTGAATATAGGAAAAATTATATATAAGATTAATCTCCTTCGTGTTGAATATATATATATATATAATTCTTTATTTATAATAGAAGAAATATGTGTTAAATTTAAAATACAAATAAAAATAAATAAAAAACTAACAAAAGATAAAAGATAAAGAAAACATAAAAATAATTAAATTTGGAGGCTAAATTGAAATTCGGTTTTGCTTAAAATTTTGATATATTTTAATTTTTAAACTTTAAAAATTAAAAGATATAATCTTAATTTAATGGTGTTAATATTTTTTTTCACATATTAAATGACTTTGTAAGCTGACATTTGAGTTAAAATATGTTAAATGGTGTAAATAACTAAAAGTCCAAAACATAATTTAATAAGTAAAAAAATTAATGTAATTGGATTAAAAGAATTATATTTATTCATTTTTAAAATTTGAAAACTAAATTATATTAAAAACATAAATAAATTTTAATTTCACATTAAAATTTAGGATTATAAACATATTTAATATTTTTTAATTCATTATTATTATTATTATTATTATTATTATTATTATTATTATTATTATTATTATTATTATTATTATTATTATTATTATTATTATTTCACTCTGCACTTACAAACTTTATGCATTCTTATGTAAGGTTCTAATATATTGAATAGTAATTAATGGTGGTAGTTAATTCCTTATTTGATATGAGAATTATGTTAGTTGTTCACAATAGAAACTGACATATAGAAATTTGAAAAGATTAAAGGTGTGTTTACTTTGGAAAGATGATTTGTGGGAGAGTTAGTGAATCAATTTGAAGATAAATTTTTTGTTGTTTATTTGAGTCGGTAAGTGAGAATAAATTTGAAAGTAAAGTTTATGAAAATTAGTGTAAGATTTGACGGATGTGACAGATAAAAAAATTATTTAATTAGTAGAGATTAAAAATTACCAAAATATTTCTAGTTATAAAAGTAATATAAAATGATAATTGTTAATATTATATTTAATTGTAAAAATATTTATAAGAAGAAAAAAAATTAAAATTAGTTATTAAAAGGTAAAAAAATAGTAATTTAGTAAACTGAAATAATAATAATAATTATTATTATTAATATTAATTATTATTAATAATTTATGTTGTGAATCCTTTACATTTTCATGTAGATAACTTTTTATGGTAAAAAATATATGTAACCTGAAAAATAAAAAATGGTAGTATATATTTTGTATGCATTTAGAATAATTGCAATTATTTTTTACTATAAAATATATTCAATGGTTTCCTATACAGGTTAGCCAACTCAGTGAGCTGTTTCATAGAAGAAATCATAACTATAGACAACTTATTACAAAGCTCAAACGAATTGCTTGTCAAGGACAAAAATGAGAATTTATCCCAAATTTCTTCAAATCAGAGCACTTTTTTCTTTCCTCTTAGATCTATACAAGTGAAAGTATTTTTTATTGATAATTCGTGAACACAATTCTCTTTAAACAATAAATTATGAGTAAATGAACTCAACATAAAAGTAGAAGGGATTGTGTTTATTTAAAAAAGTAAAAGGTAGTGTGGTGTTGTAGTCATATTTCTGAATCAAGTCAAAACTATTTAACAAAATTCCGTATTATAAAATGTAGCTTTTGATTTTTCCCAAGAGGATGTTTTCTGAACAACATTGTAGAGATTCCATGGGAGGTATGGTTGTCTTTTCTGTGAGCTGATGCTGATGGGAAATGTTTAACCAAAGTATCACATGAAATATGTGCTTGAGTTGATGGGATTTCTTAGTGGCACAAATATCATAGCTAGATATTTTGTTGGTTAGCAAGACTTAGATATTTTCTTTGAATTATAGAACTTTTTCATAATTATGTCGGATTTTAGAATACAAATACATATTCTTCTATACTACCAACAGGGCTTCCTCACACAAAGGGAACTGTTAATCATGTAAGTTCCAATGTTGATGAGCCATCCAAAGTGCTAATCTCATCACTCATCTCACTCTACAACAGAGCTTCTCCATCAAGTCTTCTGCAGAACTCCGAAATAGGTTATGTATAAAAGTCAACTTATGTCAATCAATACAAAAATATATAACAATCCATAAAACTATTTCTACAACCTTAATCTTTGTGTTCATCTCCTTTCATCACATTATTTTATTACGTGTTAAATTTTCGTTTGTGTTTTTTTTTAATTATTTTATTAATTTTATTAATTTAATACTTAATATTCTTTCATTGCATGTACTCAAAATGTGTTACAATATAACGGGATTTATATAATTTTAATTTTTCTATGATATATGTGAACTGTTCATTAATTGTTAATATCGTCGAAATTATTAAATTTGGTATTAATCATTTATACAATCTGTCTAGTTTCAATGTGATTTTATTTATTTAATTAAACAAAATTATTAGTTTACAGTTCTTCAGTACAGTCAACTTTGAGCAAATAGATTCCCCTCAACTCATAGTACAAAGAATCTTTATAATCTATTTGCATTGGCCCTAAAAAATGAGTTTTTTAAAATGTTAAAAAGATGAAACTGAACAGAGAAAAGATAAAATATAAACTAGCAACCATTCATATTATCTTTCTCCTACAGCCGAGATGGGAAAATGAACACAACTTTAACTTTTCGGTTTCTAATAGATGAAGTAAAATAAAATATAAAAAAATTATACAGTGATTAAAATTTATAACGTACTAAACCAATACATAGAATTAGATAGTTACAAACAAATTAAATTTCCGATTATCGTTGAAAAAAACTCATATCCTGTACGCTAATGCTTAAACACTATTTTATTGTAATTAATACTACATATTTTTATTTTCTAAAATAATGTCTTGGATTAAATTCCAATGAATATTTTTACCTACTACTTTTTATCAAATTAAGTTTAACAAATTACTTTTACATGTTGAGTTCAATATTAATAGAATAACGAGCTTTCAACCAAAGGATTAAATAATTTTTTTGAAAATCAATGATAATGGATTATAAACAATATTATTATCTACAAACAAAGTTAAATCAATTAAACTGAGAATCGCTCCACTGGTGCAATACTTGAGAAGGTTGAGAAATAAGTGTTACAGATCAAACTGCAACAGGACAACCCAAAGATCATCACACGAGGCCAAGTGCATACAAAATGAAATCTCATGAAATTCTTCAATAAATAATAAAGAAAAAGAAGCAAAAGAAGAAGAAAAAGTTATGCTCTACACTATAAATACATTCCAATCTTTGACAAAGAAACATTTGAAAGATCATCAAATCACGTGACAGGAGTAATTTACAAGCTCCTTTTTGAGTATTACAGACCTAGAATCATTCTCTATTCAATCCAACGAGTGACTCCATCTTCGCCTACAGTTGCCAATATCTCAACGCGTACATCCAAAACAGCCTAGTATTTGTGTCAATAAGAGGAAGTGCGCAAGGATTAACCGATCAATTTTCAGAAATTTAACAAACTAAATTATCAGCTTGTATATGATCATAGCCAATGACAAGCATGGATATAACAATGAAGCAACACGAATTATTTATTGTATACTATGTATGATGCATCAGAGAAACGACTTGCTCTAGTAAACTGATGAAAGAAGCTAATAGTTGACAATTTTTGTTCATACGAAAAATTAAAATGGCAAGCGAAGAAACAAAATGAGCCCCTAAAAGCCATCTCCTCTACTTCTCTCTAACGAATGTTCCACACAAAGTAATAGAATATTTGAGGAAAGTTAAGAAAGATGAGGCTGTACAATTACAAGTTATAACCAATTTTGGAAAGCCTCAACACCATATTCAGCCAACTAAAAATGTTTTGCAATTAATTATCAGATTCCAGGGAACCATTTAAATGTCATACCAATGTATCAAACACTGATTGCAACAAATAAAAAACAAAGAAAACTTACTGATGGGTTTCTGCAGTTCACCAGTCTGCATTCCTGTAAGGAACCTTCTAGTGTCCAATTTTCCCAAACATCAAAACTATGACTAGCAAATACAAACTCCATTCTTCTATTGATCTGCAAAAATGACAGTTTTTAACCAAATTAAAAAAACATCGTCTTTGAAGTGAAACATAAATAATAATTTAGCCGTATGTCTAAAATTTTAGCTTTTGTAGAAAATATACTACTCACACAAATACAGCATGCGAAAGAATCAATATATATGATAATAATAAATTCTAAAGGATATATATGATAAAATTGATAAACTGAGCATGATAATGCAATTTTACCTGCAATAATTTACCACCGGCAGCAAGAGATCGCAATCCAATTGTGTCCTGAAGCAAATGTATTAACACTCAAATATCAGCTAATTTGCAGAACACTTGAGCTAAAAATATATCTTACACCATTGCAAAATCCTAAACTAATATTTGAAATCCCTGATGCCACGTAAAATAAAGTGACTAGGATAAGTGCAAAGTTCCTTCAAGACAAACCTTGCTTCTGAAGATGATAAGGAACTGTGCAGCAGGGTCTCTTTTTGACACATTAGACATGGAATCCATGATCCAACCTCCACCTTTAACTCTTTGCCTTGAAACATGAAGGGCAGGGCGGTCTCTAGCATACAGTGCTATAACATATCCATCTCTCAATAGTTCAGTACAGTTTCCACTAAGTCTCACACTTGATTTTACTTGAGAACTAGTTGGTTCTTGCATTTCTATTGGAGTTTTTCTACTTCTTGAATCTTCAGAGCTGGAGCTCAAAGCTTGATCAGTGCCACTCATAGCAGTGTCATCTCTCTGAGACGTGCCTTCTTTCTCCAGTGCAGAAGGATCTTCTGGTTTTTGTTGGGACTTTTGACGGGTATGCCTTTTTTTGGCCTTTTTACCTGACCTGCTACGCCTTCCTTCAGACCTAGCAGAGGTACTATGAGACAAACTTGAAACCTGAAGTTGGGATGAAGACTCTTTCACTTGAGTACTTCCTTTCTTTTGGGAACTATCAGGACTTAAGTGAACATCATCTGTTTGCTCTCTAACAATAATCTGGAGAGCATTTTCTTTGTATTGCTGATCAGATTGTTCGCTTTCATTGTCAACCTCACTCTCTTCTTCCACATCTGACATGGCATTCTTCGGAATAATTCCATCAATGAAGAATGTTTGTAATATGGATATCGCTTTCTCCCTTATCTCCATCCAAACCTCTTCACTGTAATCTGCACTTCGGGGAAGTATCAACACATTAGGCATCTCCTTCACCTGATGTAGAAGACATATCAAAAGTATGTTATAGTACCATCCTTTTTGTTAAACTATCATTGCTATACACTGACAGGACATAATCTAATATGTAATGTAGTGTTTGTGTATATGTACATGATTAAGAGTAGCAAATACAAAAATAAAATTGCATGAAGCCAACAATCTTTTACAAAACCTACTTTAGTTTGACAATACAGTTTTTCCATTAATCCCAGTATTACTCTGATAAAGAATAATCATATTCCAAAGCATCGAGTCCTCTAGATGACAAAGGGGCAAAGAGATGTTTAACCATAACACTGACACGTAAACTTGTATAACTTTTGAATGAAAACTTTGACCCTGATTATCATAAGATGGTATGACCTGTGTCCTGATTTGATACAAAATCTTCAGAGTTTGATACAAATTGTCAGGAAATTCATTGTTTAACTTGAATCATTTGCTAAATTGCATAAATCACTTCTTTATTTGAAGAATTGCTAATTGGTGCTTTATCATGCAATTCTTGCAAAGTGAATCAAGCACACAAAATAGAACGGGTTTTGAGTCAGTTTTGAGAAAATCCTCCATTTGTCAATATGCAACGGCCTGTTATTATGATCATCATAGACTACCAATGTTTGCATTCCATTATCACAAAAAAGGTGCCATATCTTTCTAATCAACTAAGTCTGAGCAATAGCAATACCAGTGTTTGTTTCACAAATTTTTATAAAATTGGAGGGGAAATGGCGAATTCCTTTCCTATTTTGAACCAAAGTCAGAATATTAATGCTTTGTGCCCTCTCTATTAATGCCTCATTTACTCAGTTTGAGTCACCCCCCACCCAGTCTCTTTCCACTTCTATTCTCATGTATTTACTTCCATGTTACTGTTGCATTAGTTTTTTCTAGTAGGATATTGGGCCAGCAGAAGAAAAGGGACATCGTTATCAGATGAAGCCAGAGTGTTCCTCCACTGTTTGCATAAATGTTGCGGTGCTGCTGCAAGGATCAAACATCACATTTTTGCCCGAATAAAGGACAATGTTAGATTTGCACATCTATTCATGATGAAGTTAGAGAGACGATTTTGAAGCTATTAGGAGATAGAAAAAGAAGATAAAGGGGCAAATGATCAAGAATAATTTGATGTTCGTATCCAAGATGCTATAAGAACAGAAATGTGAAATCATTTGTGAAGAGGAAGGAGGGAATTTCAGCATCTATGAAGAAAATACAATGAATGAGGTGTTGAACGATAGATAGTTGGTCACTCAAGACATCTACAAATGCATTTATGGCAATATTTTGCCATTTAATTTGGTGAGAAATTCCTAACTATCAAAATGCTGAAATCGGTTGCTGAATATCTAAGGGGTTTAAAACCTCCCACTTATCACAAGGAAAGAGCATCTTTTTTGAAAGAGATACTTGACAAAATCCTATTTAAGGGTAGTACAATATTTGTTAAGAAATAGACTTTAAGTTTAACCCAGTCTTACAAAATTAGCTTGTAAAGTAAGATTTGCACCTACTTATATACTGTAAGCTAGCTTTATCTCTAGTCGATGTGAGACTCCCAACAGTATTGAATGAGGAAAATGGAGTAGTTCGAAATAAAAAATGGTTGTCACATTGGGAATCAAAATGGCTATTTTCCGATTCATGAAGTGAGTTGTAATATTCATTACCAATAAGAAAAAGAGCATTTACAACTAATCGAAAATTAAAAGCACAAATCCATGCCTAATGACAATAGACTAAGAGCATGTTAACATAAAGAAGCCAAATAGCTCACTATATGGCTAGAAAAATAGAATAAAAAACTTCATAAGTGTTTGTTGTATCTATCTGTCATTGGCGGTCTTTAGTTTTTATTATTTTCCTCTCTCTTTGTACTTCTGTCGCAAGATACATATCTCTCTAAATAAATGACTCTGAAGAGAAATTTTACTTGAATCTCTCAAGTAGCTTCTCTTAAATACTTATTCTCAAGTAAAACAGAGATAAATCACTAGTCACACTGAAAAAAAAAGTGACTGGTTAAATTTAGCAATAAAGCCACCCCACAAAAAAAAAGACTAGAAATCAGTCTGGCTAAAGTCCAAATGGACAATTTGATCATCATTCGTCATCCCCAAAATCAACATTACTTCGTTCATCTTCATCATCCCATATCAAAAGATCTTCCCCTTCCTCCCATCTTGAATAATATCTTCAATTTCATCCTCATCTTCTATTATGAACTTTCCCTTCATCTCAACCTTTGAGTTTAAGTTTCTTAGACCGATAAAACAAAATGAAAAGAATAAGCAAGACAATATGTATTAAATTTTTAAAGCAGTTTATTTTTTTAAGTTCTAATTCTAAACCCAATCAGACATCTCTCTTCCATTCCTTGCTACGAGCCCCTAGTCAAAACCAATACACAAGTATATTCACCCGTGTAGCACAGCACAAATTGGTAAGAAGAAATTTCTTTTTCAATAATTCATTAATCAACTGATTCAATATTGAATAAACGTATATGATCATAAGTATCCCCCCTTCTCTTCTCTACACTTTTGTCTTATCTTGAGATGAAAATTATACTCCACAAACACAAGTGCATTTATTTTTTGATGCTTGTGGCAACTTATTTTCTTATTTTGCACTTAATCAAATGCACTCGAGTTCCTATTATATCTGACAGAAGTAAAACTTTACTTCCTTTGAAACATTCAAGTATGAAAGTAAAGGAACAATAAGTTGTGAGTTTCAATCAGTAGTTAAAACTTTTGTGAATGTCTGCATCATACCTTACAAATTAAAGAATACAAAACCTAAATTTACCGTACCCATGCTTCCATCCATTGGGGCCCTTCTGCACCATCCAAAGCACATCCAGCTATGGTTCCATCAATCAAGAGCTGTTTTACAGCACAATCATCCAAAAGCTGACTACTGCCCGTATTTACAAGAAAAGCTCCTATGGAAACATTATATACATTATATATTTGTAAGATAACTCAAACAATAAATAACTAACAGAAACAAAGAAAAATATATAGTAGCATATGAACAAGTAAATACCAAGCTTCACATGTTGAAGACATTCGGCATTAATAATCTGTATTGTTTCATTTGTTAAAGCACAATGGAGTGATACAAGGTCACTTGCAGCAAGTAAATCATTAAGAGTATCCATTCTTCGTGCTGCAGGAGGGAACTTTGCTTTTCCTTTTACATGTGAGTACAAGGTTGACGAAAAAATTATCAATTAGTAAAAACCTTATAGTATTCGGTCAGCTTTGAAACTAGTACAAGTCATGCTAAGTTCCAATGTTCCAAAGAAACAAATGAAAAATGAAAATTAAAGAGAGCAGACTAAGAAATAAACATTCAGAAGTTGAAATACAGAACAATCAAGCCTTTTGTAACCCCTTTCACGAAGCTACTGGTACTGAATTAATTGAATATGCATACCCTTGTGCAAGTTTCTAGGGCAACAGAAACCTTAAGGCAAAACGAAGCTGAAACAAATATAACATTTTATGATTGTTATGAAGAAATGAAAAGGCTCATTCACCCTTAACAAAAGTCTGATCAGCATGTTAACAAAATGAAGAAATAGCATACATAGTTATATTACAAAGTTTACTGACTACACAAAATTCAAGCCCCATTTGAAGAGAGTATCATCATATCAAATATATCCAATAAGAATTTATACCAACAAATAGATTCATCGGCTCTCCAACTAATAAACAATCATCAAACGTGAACTAAAAAAGTACAGACTACTATTTCAAGTTTTTATTTTAAAAAGTCCTCAAGGACTATTATGGAACAGTTGCGATTAAGAAAAATTGAAGCTTTTGCATTAACCACGGAAAGAGTTTATAGCAACTAATAGTCAATTCTCACAATCAAAAATAGGATACAAATTCATTGGTTTAAGAAAAAACACAGGAATTTCCACTAACAACTTAGCTTAAATTTGGGGGAAATAATCACCTATTTTTTTAAGCTATCTGTAGAAACTGTCAAAATAAGCTATTATTTCATTAAAATAAGTTAAACCAAACAACAGTAAAGTCTCACGTTAGACCACAGTATCTTATTCTTACCTGAAAATAGAATTTAAGTAGATGAAAGAATGGAGGGACTTGAGTATTATGTGGTGCTTAAGTCTCACATAGAGTAATATGCGAAGCTCGGTAAAGTATTCAAGTGTTGGTTCTTCCCCATAACAACTAGTCTTTAAGGTTGGGTTCCCCAATGCTAGGATGCTTATTAATTATTACCGGAGATGATTGTCGTCTGAGAAATGGCTACTTACAAAGGGTTCAAACTAGTGAAGAGTTATGACTAACGAGAAAGTTGACTAAAGTGTCACCCAGTATCATAGTGTGAAAACTTCTTAAGTGTGGTACTATGATAAGGGCTTCGGTATTCTGGGATGCCTAAGTCCCACACCAAGTAATATTTGACGCTGAAGAGAGTATTTTAGTGTTGGGTTCTTAATTCTTGCCCCTTGACATCTAGATTTTAAGGATGAGCTTTCCAAATGCTTGGGGTGCTTATCACGAAGCATGCTGGAATGATGCCAGGCAAAATTACAAAAGGAAATGAAGGGCATGATAGTTAAGATGAAAGCAAAAATTAGATGATCATGGGGTCAAGTGGATCTGGTTAGGGACAGCATGGAGGAATATATGTTTCATGCATTAGAAGAAATCAAATGTCATGCTGGAGAATTTTGTATGAGTGGAACATTTAAATGGTACATATTATATAACTACTTAGAAAGAGATGAGGTGAACCACAAAGCATTGAATAAATTTTGGATTCCTTCTGACTTCTCTCTGGAGACTGTCCTTTGTCTTTTAGAGCTTAATCTAAGATTTAAGTATCAAGAATTCGTTAGTTCTGGATAGCAGTACCTAATTATAGTAAATAAAAAATACCGTGTACACTATTCCAGTAACAGAAATGCTTGTTTGCACGGACTGATCAACAAATCCATACATGCTATTCTAATTCTATCAAAAACTGAATTCATTATGAACTACCATTGCCCAGGAATGCGCCAATGAATGGTCAAAGAGCATTTCTGACTTTTCCATACAAATGAGTTCAAACCAAACAGATGCTTTGTTCCAGTATTTCCACCTTTTTGTCTGGTTTCTTGTAAGTTGAATTTCAATAGTGTTAACGCACACGCTAATCATAAAATCCAAACTGTTACACACCAGTTACAGTGCCACAAAAACAAAAAATGCTTCAGAATCATGAAACAAATGCTACAATATCAATTAAGAATCAAGTCTCACAAACAACAAGTGGATCACAAAATTAAAGCATTGATACATCGATTACTATTTTAATTTCAACTGAAGAAGGGATCTTCACTCAATGAAGGAAAGAATAAAAAAACGTACTGCTTGAGTATCAAAATAGAGCACGCTCATTTTGAAGGCCAAGCTGAGAGTGGCCAAAGACCTAGCCGACGCGGAGATTCCGACGATGCCGAGAACAAGGCCGCGACAGCGGCGCATCCCACGGCAGAGAGGCTGGACGGAACCAAGCCAGCCGGAGGCGGAGAGCGCGTGGCGGGAGAGGAGGTGCATGCGGCAGAGGAGGCCGAGGAAGAGCGCCATGACGGTGTATGCGATCTCCTCGGCGCGCGAGGTGTCGACATGGACGAAGCGAAGGCCGAGGTAAGCGGCAAGGGCGGAGTCGACGGCGCGGTCGGCGGAGCCGAGGCAGAGGATGAGGTGGTAGGAACGGAGGCGGCGCTGGGCGGCGCGCGGGAGGTAGGCGAGGGAGTGCAGGAGGACCGCGGCAGCAGACTCGATCTTGCCTTCGGAGAGGCGGCTGAGGGGAACATGCTCGACGTCGGCGATGCCAGCGAGGGATTGGAGCTCGAGAGAACAGTCGTCGATGCAGTTTAGGGTGACGACGAGGGGCAGAGACGCAGGATTGTTACGGTGAGGCATTGCCGCACACGATTGGATCTGCTACTCTACCTTCCACTCTTGCCTTCACTCCTTTGCCTTCTCAGTTATGCTTTAAGCTATGCTTTCGCTTTAAAACGCCCTCTCTCTGTCGCCACTTTTGGAACCAGCCATTTTCAACCACCTCTAAGAAATTAAAAAGGATTTTATTTTTTATTTATTTTCTTCTTTTTTATATTTTCTAATCTTTTTAAGAAATTAATAAAAAATTAATATATAAGAAATCAGCTCATATGGTTTACTCATACTGATATTTTATTAAACTTGATATTAAGATATTTAAATAGTTAAAATTTATTTATATTTGAATCGAAAAATAGTTTGTTTCTTTTTCTATTAGGATGGGATGAATAAAGTTGTATTTTGATATTTTTATATAATTAAAATTCTTAATAGAACTGGTTTTTACGTATAATTATACTTATAGTTGGAGAAAACAGAAACAAAAGAAAAGTAAGTTAGTAATGTTGGCCTATTTTCTACTGAAAATTAAGCTTGCATAGTATAATTGGATTTAATGACAATCAGATTGCGTTTGTTTGGTAGAGGTGAGAAGAGAGAGAAAATAGAAAAAAAAACTATAAAAATAAATTATTTACTTTGAAAAGAAAATATTTTTTTTATATCGATTACATATATATTTTTAGATTGTAAGCATTTTGAAGATTTTTAAACTGCTTATTAAAGAAAACAAACCTGTAATAAATGCATCAAATACAGTAATAATGAGATTGTTTGGTCATCCTTTTTCAAATCTTTAATGTTTTAAATTTTTGGTAAATAAAATAGAGTATTTTTCCTATTAAGCAAATGTTCACTTTCTTAGTAAATATATATTATTGACAACTAATTCACACTTGTTAATAAAGTTAGTTATTTTAGTTAGTATCGTTGATTTTGTCAATTTTTTTTTATGAAATGTTGATTTTTTTTATTTTCAAATTTTCTCAGAAAATAAATTACATTAATAGTTATATTTACAAACAGACAAAAGTAAGACATTATTTTTGAGAGAGTGAAGGAATTTTATATGATAAAATAGTTTGAACATATATATGGGATATATGTAGAAATTTAAAATTATTTATATAATAATTAACAATATATTAAACAAATTAAAATAATATTTTTAAACATTATTTTTATAAATATAAATATTTATTTTATTAAAACACCTTTATGAATACCTTCATTATATTAAAAGGAATTATTATATTAACCAACATTCTTTAAAAAACAAAATAATTTACTATATATAAAATAAAATGATTTAATATTTTGAAAATTATTTAAATATATCTATATATAATGAAATACATTAAACGTTCCTTACAATAAAAAAATAATGACCAAAACTAATTAACTTCTGTAATAAAAAAAAAATCAGTAATACTTACAGTGGTCCACCTTGATCCATTAAGTTTTCTTTTAGCAGCTCGAAAAGATTCTTAGTAATAAAAATATGATTGAGTATTGTCATTATCAATTATAGCTTATAACGAGTATGCAAAGTCCTTTATGATTATTCATTAATATTTTCTTGAAATTAAGCAACGTCATTCCAAATAACGGTTATATGCTAATTTATTCATAAAATTAACCACAAGTGCACATCGTCACTCCTTAATTAGTACCTAAAATAAGTCTTTACTATACATTTTTTTATGATTATAAGAAAAACTCTCATAAAAAATAATATACAAATAATCATTCATTGCTCTTAAAGGATTTACAAATAAAACATTATTTTTTATTTTGTACTTAAATTATTATCCATTTTTATAATTATTGGTTATATTTTATTTTTCCTGTATTTCATTTTCCCTTTATTTTTAATCCTCTCATTTCCTTTGACATATTTTATAATAGAATAAATTACACAAATTTCTTGTAAAGTTTCTTTATATATTGCACATAGTTTTCTCATTTGTCTCGTGTTTATTCAAACTCTTTTTCAAAATGCACACGTATGCTTTTTAATATAAGTAAAAAAATCAATATAATTTATATTAAGTATTAACGGAATATTTTTCACATAGTTAAAAGTCATGAATGTATAAATAAATAAATAAATAAATATAGAAAATAAGTGTAAATGTAAGAACTGAGAAATATGGTAATTAAGAAATAAAGTGAGTTTGAGACTTGAATATTATTATTTGGTAAATTGGTGTTTAATGATTAGATGTTTCTAAGAATTATAATTGTTATGTTAGTTATTTAGTGTTATTATTAATAAAGTATAACACATGATTGATATGTTGTTGATTTGATGATTTATGTAATATTACCAATGTGATGTATTGACTATTTAATAGAAGGGTGGTCTAGGATTGAATGAGCGTTGATTCAATGCTAGGGAGAAAGAGAATTAAGGAAAATATTTGTATTATTTGTATTTTTCCTTAAGGGCGAAATGATCTTTTATATTTATTAATTGGTGTATAAACTAACTAAAGAGGGTGTAAGAAGTAAAATCAAGCAAAAAAAATAAAATAAAATATAAAGATAAAGGCTAACGTGGAACATAGATAAAAGAGATGAGTTGACAACTGAGGGTAGCACCTGAATTAGCCTCACTATTGCATAAGTATCAATCTGTCTTTGAGACAGCCTCTTCCCTCCCACCACCTCGATCACATGATCATGTTATTCCCCTGATTGATGGATCTAAGCTAGTCAAAGTCAAGCCATATAGATATCTGAACAGTCAAAAGGATGAGATTGAAAGACTAGTACACGATATGTTGGAAGATAGTATCATACAACCTAGTAAGAGTCCCTTCTCTTCACCAATAACCTTGGTCAAAAAGAAGGATGGATCATGAAGAGTTTGTACTGATTATAGGACATTAAATGTTGTTACTATGAAGGATATCTTTCCCATCCAAAAGTTGATGAATGAATTGATGAGTTATTTGGAGCCCAATTTTTTTCTAAGTTGGACTTGAAATTTGGTTATCACCAGATTTTGTTAAAGCCTGAGGATAGGTACAAAATAGCTTTCAAAACACATCATGGGCATTATGAATGACTGGTTATGCCATTTGGGCTCACTAATGCTCCAGCCACATTCCAGAGCCTTATGAATGAGGTTTTTAAAGGAGTTTTGAGAAAATTTGTTTTTGTTTCTTTTACGATATATTGGTGTATAGTCCTACATGGCATGATCATTTATTGCATTTAGAGTTTGTGTTGCAAACTCTCCAATAATAGAAACTATATATGCTCAGCTCTCTAAATGTTCTTTTGGAGTTGTCCAAATTGATTATTTGGGCCATGTGATCTGGAGCAGAAGTTGCTATGGAGACTTCAAAATTGGAAGCTATTAATAGTTTGCCACAACCTACGTCTCTCAAACAACTCAGAGGGTTTCTAGACCTCACGAGTTACAACAGAAGATTCAAAAGGAACTATGCGTCTATGGCTAGTCCACTCATGGATTTGTGGAAGAAAAATTCTTTTCATTGGTCTGAATTTGCTTCGCAAGCTTTTCTGCAGCTCAAACAAGCTATGACTTCAGCACAAGTATTGGCCATTCCTAATTTCAAGAAACCCTTTATTTTGGAGACCGATGCTTCACGTTCCGGTATCGGGGTTGTTTTGAGTTAAGCACATTATCTAGTGGCCTATTTCTCTAAGAAAATATCTCCTAGAATGCAAAAATAGTCTACCCATATAAGGGAATTCTATGCAATTACATAAGCACTGGCTAAATTTCGGCATTACTTACTTGGCCACAAATTCATTACAAGGATGAACCAAAAAAGCCTTAAAGAATTATTAGAACAAACATTGCAGACTCCTGAACAACAACAATGGTTACCTAAATTTCTAGGTTATGACTTTACTATTCAGTATAAGCCTGGAAAAGAAAATGTTTTTGCTGATGCTTTATCCAGGAGCTTGTTTATGGCTTGGTCAGAACCTACCAGTAACTAGTTGATCAAAGTTGCAAAGGAAACAAAGAAGGATAACACACTATTTGAGTTACTTAATCAGCATGCTCAAGGGATTAAAATTGATCCTAAGTATGAAATAAAGGATGGGTTGGTATTTAGGAAAGGGAAGTTGATGATTTTCGAAGGCTCTTCCTTGAGACAACAAATACTTCAAGAATTTCACGATACAAAGACCGGGGGTCATGCAGGCAGGACTAAAACATTTGCGAGAATTTGAACTCAGTTTTATTGGCCTAAAATGCAGGAGGATGTTAAAACCTACATAAAAAATGGTAGAACATGTCAGCAAGCAAAGAGTGATCAGGCTTTGCCTACTGGTTTACTACAACCGTTACCTGTCCCTATACAGATTTGGGAAGACATTGCAATGGACTTCATTACTCATCTACCTTCTTCTCATGGCTATGCTATAATTATGGTAGTGGTAGATCGCCTATCCAAATTTGGTCACTTTATTGCTTTGAAAGCTGAATTTAATAATAAAACAGTAGCAGATGCATTCATAAAAAATGTTGCAAAAATCCATGGCTTTCCTAAATCTATTATGTCTGATAAAGACAAAGTTTTTATTAGCTCTTTCTGGGAATAATTGTTCAAAGCGTAGGGCACCACCTTAGCTATGAGTTCTTCTTATCACCCACAAAGTGATGGCCAGATGGAGGTCCTTAACAAGACTTTGAGATGTATTTACGATGCTTTGTTTATGAGAATCCTAAGTCATGGTATCCAATGTTATCTTGGGCACAATATTGGTATAATTCCTCATTTCATCACAGTATTACAATGAGCCCTTTCAAGGCTGTGTTTGGTAGAGGAGCCCCTTCGGTTATCCCTTATCAGATTCATTATAAGGATCCTGGATCTCTGCAAGAAACCTTAATCAAGAGAGGCAAACTTCTGCAGCAACTTAAGGATAATTTATTCAAAGCCCAGAATTATATGAAGTTCCAAGCTGATAAGAAGAGGAGAGACGTTCAACTAGCAGTGGGTGATTTAGCATTGGTGAAATTACAACCTTATAGGCAACACTCTATTGCCCTTCGAAAGAATCAAAAGTTGGGAATGCGATTTTTTGGCCCTTTTAAGGTGGTGCAGCGTATTGGTCAGGTGGCTTACAAGTTGGAATTACCGGAATCGGCTCGTATACATTCTGTTTTCCAT